ATAAATAATATAATATAAATAAATAATATAAATAAAATTTATCCATAAATAAATGAAAATAAACAACAGTGACAAAGAACAAGTCGGTTATATGTGCTTATGTGGAAAGATTTCTACACTATATAGTAAGCAATGCATATAGTATGACATAATTTCCTGGATACCTCATCTAAATTAACTTCCCTATGTACACCATCATCCATCACCACCGAGCTAGGCTCCCTTTCAGTGCTATTATTATTCTTGTCATACAGCAAACGTGATTATGAAACTATTTGTATACTTGTTTTCATTGTATAGCTCTCAGAACTTCTGTGCTTGTCTCATGGTAGGCTCTCAAAATATATTAGAAGGAAAAAAATGCCTTTGGGATTCTTAATCCCTAGTTAGGCAGTGGATAGTCAGTGGTTGTGATGTGATAGAGGGTAGTTTAGTATTTCATACACTTACTTCAAGCCTTGCTTCTCTGAAGCAAAGTTTCCTTGCACCTCACACCGGGGAGTACATCTCTCGTTCTGGCTGCTGCCACTGCATGAAGGATGCTCTTTATTATCACCTTTCTGCACACATTAAGTCATGTTCTATCTCCCTTTCTAAAATATCTTGCCTATACCTCTTGGACCCCCAGGGCCTTGTGTTGAGGGTTCAGTGAGTACATTTTCAGTGATTAAGTAAACATTCATTCTTTCAAGTACTAAGTACTAGCCATGCCTGACCCTGGTTAGCTTTTGAGCTCAGACAAGATCAGGCACATTCAGGGTGGCATGCTGTAGACAAAATAGATGTTTCTAATGATCATTTTCATCTGGTCTGGCTTTGGTCTCCTGTAAATGCCAACTTCAGTGTGCTCCAGGTCGGCACCAGCCTCCCTCTAACAAATATGGAATATAGATGAAGGTCTGAGCCATCTGTGCTATTCTGTTTGATTTAAGGTCATATGTGGTTTCACTATCCAGATTTTACCACTAGCATTTCATACATTTATTTCCTGCAGTTTTGCTTCCTACAGAAGTAAACACACGGAGAGACAGGCTCAGTAATGAGGAAGCCAAGACTACAGCTAAAAGCAACAATAGTCACAGTAATTACAAATGCATCTAACAGTAAATGAAATTTTACTGTGTTCCAGGCAACATGGTAATGTTTCATATACACATGATCCCACAAACTCTTCACAACAGTTCTGAAGAATTAACACTATTTTTATCACCATCTTATAGATGAGGAAATCGAGGTGTCGAGAGTATAAATACCAAATTTTCATTGACAGCAATTTGTGAGGTATAGGCCCATCTCTCTGAGTCTACAGCTCATCTACAGGTATTCCCATAGGTATGCTGGCTTCTTCGGAATTTTTTAGACCATTTATTTTTAATGGCAAAATCAAAGCAATGCATGCTTGAAATTCAAAGGCATCTCAGTCAATATCTTCACTAAATGGAGGGAGAGATATTTGAAGGGATTACACTGGAGCAAGATTTTCTTTTTAGTGAGAGTCTATCCCCTTGGGGATGTCTGTGAACATGACTTGGTCATTTTATGGGATCAGAGGTAGGGGAAGGAAGTGTGCATAGAAAACTCAGCCTTTCCCCCCTTACTTCCTGGCCCATTGTTCATGGAGTTCCAGACACAGAAATTCAGAGTCGTAAACTGTCACCACCACTATCAGTGACCTTCCCTCTGATCTCCCCTAAAATCCTTCTGAAAGGGATGGAAGTACTTCCCAGAGCCTGACAGAGGACAGCATGAGAAAACATTTCTGAAGAGGGGGCCTTTTGAGTGGCAGTCAGAAGTAGCTGTCAGACAAACCCCAGATTTTGTCCTCTAACAAGCAAGTATTATATGAAGGTGGTGATTAACGCCAACTCATCCGCTGTGCTGCTGACGTGGATGCAGATGAGGAATACACTGGGGCTGACAAACTCAGGAAAGAAACTAAGAATTTGGTTTAACCATTTGGAAGTAGTTCTAATTACAGGCATTTATGTGAAATGTTTACAATTTATGTCTAATTGCCACCCAGCACAATAACAATTATGCATATCATTAAATATGTGTCAGATTAATTTTGTTGTAAATTTTTATTATAACAGCAAACCCTATGTGTGTATTCTCTGTATTTATAATTTGTTGCTCAGACTGCTCACAACTTAAGAATAAATGAGACAGAACACTGGCTGGGGGGCCAAGAGTGGGGAAAGTGCAGAGGCAGAGGCAGCTGGCTTGGGTTGAATATTTACTATGGGTAGTGCACAAAGTGGATAATCAACAAATGCATAAATCCCAGCAGCTTAGCTTCACCAGAGCCCTGCAGGCAGCTCCACGATATTTTATTCATTTCTTGTTGATTCTTTGGATGTATTCATGCCCACAGCATGTCCCAAACCTTTTCTGCTCTCCTTGTTCTCTTGGCTTACCTCGTCTCTTTCCACTCCTGTTCACTTGGTTAAGTATGACTTTATTCCATACTGGGCAGTACATCAGGCTAATACCATCCCACTCTGGCTTCCACTTTTCTTTCAAGTTGCGTCCTGCTTTCCCTGAAGGTCTCAGGACTCTAACTAGTAGCGGTGCCTGTTTATTTGTGTTTTGTCCCTTCTTCTCCCACCTCTTCAGATACTGACTCATTCTCCCTGTATTTCACCATGTCTTCAACTTTTTCCTAATATTTCTGCCATGCATACAGTAAGCAATATACACAAGACAGAATGGGATTACACACACATGCTTGCACACATCCAAACACACACACACACACATATGTACCCTAAGTACACACGTGTATACACACATGCTTGCACACATCCAAACACACACACACACACACACACACACACACACACACACACACACACACACACACACACACACACACACACACACACACACACACACACACACACACACACACACACACACACACACACACACACACACACACACACACACACACACACACACACACACACACACACACACACACACACACACACACACACACACACACACACACACACACATATGTACCCTAAGTACACACGTGTATACACACATGCTTGCACACATCCAAACACACACACACACACATACACACACACTGTTTTTGTTATTCTTTCAGCTATGTGCATTTTTCTTCTTCCTCTCAGTTAACCTTGTACTTATTTTACTTCTTCTATATTCAAAATTCATTTCATGCATAGGAATTTTGTGAGTTTTAAAAATTATTTCTTAACCCAACTTGAAGTACTCAACAAATGCTTAAAGATCCTCAATCATGGATCCTCTCAGGCTGGATACCCTGTAGAAAAAGAATTAGGATATCTGTCATGTTTTTCTCCAGTATTATCGTGCAGATAGATCTCAGGAAAATAGAAAGCAGGGTAGTAGAAGGCACAGAACTTTTCTGTTAAACAAATTTAGCTTCTGTTTCAGGGACTGCCACTTAGTAACCAAGAGAACTACAATAACTGGCTTCTTCTTTGTGAGGTCCAATGACCTCATATGAAAAATGAGCATGTTATAGAGCCTATCTTAGAAGGTTGTTGCAAAGACAAATTGATGCACTGATGAGAACGGTCTGGCATGTACTAACAATGGCTCTTCTCAGGAAGAAACTTTCAGGGGCTGTGGCTCACTCATACTGAAGATTTGTTCCACCTACTACAGTAATAATGCACCACAATTTCAACCACCTCAAGCCTTATTATCTAGATTCATCCTTCATTCTTAGCTCTCTATTAGTAGTTTTAGTCCTATGAGACCTAATACATGCTCTTAATAACAAATATTTTGTGACTCACCCTTCACTATAGTGAAATGGAGTTCATAGTTAATATAACCTATCTACATTCATAATTTAAATAAAATCACCACAGTGACCTAACAGAAATATAAATGAAGAATGAAAGGAAAGTAATTTACAATAAAATGATGCATATTTCAATATATAAATGCAAGGACACGGCCACATCAGACAACATAATGAAATACATGATTGCACCAACTTATAATAAATAGGTTTATATTTAAAAGGATTGGGAGTCATTGTAAGAAAGAAAAACGCAGAAGGCAAAGATACAGGAAAACAGTAAAATAAAAACTATTGTTATGGTAAAGCAAGTCTCAGATGAATATAAACACTTTTTTTCTCACCTGTATTATTAAAGCTCACTGCAAGATTTTTAAAGCTATTTGGTATAT